AAAGAAAGAAAGAAAGAAAGAAAGAAAGAAAGAAAGAAAGAAAGAAAGAAAGAAAGAAAGAAAGAAAGAAAGAAAGAAAGAAAGAAAGAAAGAAAGAGAAAGAAAGAAAAGAAAAGAAAGAAAGAAAGAAAGAAAGAAAGAGAAAGAAAAAGAGAGGGAGAAGGAAATTTCTTCTAACCAAATAGAAGTGTATGTGGTTAAGAAGCGGATACTTGTGGAGATGGTGTTCTATTGCGGTCCTTTGAATCTCCCCACTTATGCCCTGTACACACGTCAAAATTTTTTCATCTCACTGTCATAATAGTGGCAAAAACTAAGGTCTCTCAGTGTGCATTTCGAAGATAAAAATATGTCAATTATAAAGCTTCAGACGATAGATTCTAAGAAACTTTTCCCCTCTAAAATAGCAAGAGACAGCTTCAAAAACAAATGTGTTTAGATTCTCCCAAAGAATGCCACTTAATGAGCTTAAAACTAGTCTGCGAGTGTAGGGTACTTTATTTAGTTCTGTAAGTCTTTCCTTGGTAAAGAAATCTCCTCAAATCCTTTGGTAACCACAAGCTATTTGTTTCACATACAAGGAAACAGAGCAACTGACCAGTTATATTCATGTTTTCATAAGTGAATGAGAATTGCTTATTTTGTTGAGAAAATACCAATTTTATCTGAAATTATAATCAAGGCAACATAATTTTAGGAGCCACAAAGACAATATAATTTCAAGAGTAAAGAACAGCTTGTGAATAGGGAGATCCATTATCTTTCCCCCAAAGAAAATAGGCAGTGTGTACTCCTGTGTGGCATTTCAACACACTGCGATCTACCTGAAGGAAATCATTAATTCTTCCCAGCATTTTAGAATAACAGCATGATGATGAGACACCTAAAAAGCACTCAGAGAAAACATTGGTTGCAAGTGCCTGCTCAAATTGTTTAACGTTTGTCAAACTTGAATTGCATTTGAAGGATACATTGCTGGTAATGGATTTCCAGTTCTATTTCCACATGGGCAAAGCTTTGTAGCCATTACAAGCTGTAGTTTATTACTTTACATTATGTATGAGATGATTTTTGTGAGCAGGTACACAAACACAAAGGGGAAAAATATAAGAAAGTAATTTCTTTTATTGCTCAATATACAGCAGTTAGGAATAATTTGGAAATTTTTCAAATAGCCCATTTTGGGAAATTCCTAGATATACTCAGGAGTGATTATTTTCTGCAGTGTTACTAAATGATTTGGCTGTAGCTAAGATTGGCATTAATTCCTAAAGGAGTTATGTCTAGTTGTAGAATTGGCACAAAATGTCCTAGAACAGGTATAAGATTTTTAATAAGAACCCGAAGCCCTGTTTCTAACAATGATTAGCTGTGTGACTTTGGTCACATAATTTAACGTTTCTGGGCCTCAGTTTCCTCTTCTCAGAAAAATAATACAGCCTACCTCACATAATTGTAGCGAAGATTACATGAGTCAAGCTCATTGGTTACTAAAAAGTAGATTCTCAAAATTTGGGGCCTAATCCAAATTAGTAGACAAGAGCCAATAAATGTAACTGAATTTTGTTATTGAAAAGCACTACACAAATATAACCCAAAAGAACAACAGGATTCTTTTGTTTGTTTTGTAAAATTAGTTTTCAGGTGTCTTGACAGTGGTTTGCCAGACTGTTATATGGGAGTTGTTCGTATTAGTGAAAAAAAACTGTGTGTCAAAACTGAAACCATTCTGTCTTTTTACATGGATATAGGATAAACCAGTTTGTGGAATTTTATTAAATAGGAGCTTGAACTTCTGATGTAAGAAACAAAGAACTATTATTACCGGTGATATGGAATGGCTTCAAATAGGTGGTATGTTTTGACATGTAAAATGCTGTTGATAAATTGCTAAACGTGAAGGGAAATCTTACATATAAAACCTAGCCACCATAAAGTGAGCAACCAGCCTCTTCTACAAGGTGCCAGGGAAGCTGTGCCTTCCTTTCTTTCTCTACAACTGATTCACAGCCACACGATCTGTAATTCATGTACAAATAAGAACAAGCAGAGGGGATGTGTAAGTTCTTTATGTTTTTGGCACATGATTGCCATTTTTAATCCAAAACACTCTCAAATCTGGCCAATTTTTCTCCACACTTGGGAAGAATCATTTTCTTTTGGCCGGAGACTCACTGTAAGAATTTTCAGTCCTAGAGAGAAGGTTTTGTTTACAAATTCAGAAAGGAGAAAGATCAAAATCTAGGCAAGAACAGAGGAGGTCTTGCAACCTTAGCTCCGCGTGGAGTCACACTTCAAACTTCAGAATGAGAGCTGGCTGCACTGGGCAAAAAGGTTAATTTTCTTTCAGATGAGTGAAACAGTTCCCCAGCTGGAGAACACACTTCCAGCATCGATGTATGTGTTCTTCAGCAATGCTTTGATCAGAGGCTCCAGTATCCTCTGTGAGAGTATACATAAAAGCACATTAGCTACAGCAAGGAAAGGCTAAAAACCCTGGGAACCCCTCGAGGGTACCAGAAGATGAAGATCGAGCAGAGAAAGTTGCCGTGTCAGATGCCATCTCAGAACTCCCTAACCTAAAGTAAAACAGCACAAGTCCTACCTATATATTATCTTTCATTTCTATGAATTAAAAATACCAGTTACTGACAGTTTTGAACAATTATGAGACACTAGTAAACTATTATTCTTCTGTACTCTAAACTTGTTAGTGTATACCATACTCTCTTTTCTTCCATTTCTTTTCATAACAGAAATTTCTTTCACTACAACACTTAGGCTACAAATTGTAGACAGTATGGTATGGCAAAAATCACATGGGTTTTAGAGTGGTGTGTAAGCTCAAATCCCAGCCACTATTCAGCAATGAAGAATTATTGTTTCTGAGCCTCAGATTTCTCATCAGTTAAATGAAGATAGTGACACCTCAGAGAGTTATAAAGTTGTAAGAATTAAATATACATATATGCATATAATATATACAAAATTTTATATAAAATATTTATATATTTTGCACTCATATATACATACAAATATATATGATTTGTAATTATATGTATGTATGTATGTATAATAATTACATGTATGTATAAGAGAAAGAGGGAAAGAGAAAGAGTTATATATATGCCTAGAGAGTCAGAGAAAGTGAGAAAGATACTTGAGAACTTACCCTAGGGTCTGTCACATGATAAAACCTCCATAAATAATATCTATCATTATTAGTTCCAGCATGCATTTATTCATTGCTCTTTCACAAACATTTTTGAGTGGCACCTATATGAATGCTAGTGATAAAATAGTAAACAATGTAGTCACTGCACTCAAGAAGTTTTTGTTGTGTAGGAAACATGCAAGTGGCAAATTCAGAATAGTGCCTCAACTGAGATAAACAATGAGGCATAGGAGAATTATCTAATGTGATCTCAAGAGCTAAGGGAAACCATCTTATATAAAATGACATGTAGGTTATGAAATACCTGAAGCACACAAAGGATAACCAAGAGAAAGAGGGGAGATGAGGGAGGCATGCAGTTCTACAAGGAGGAGGCAGTGAGGCAAAGAAAATAGCAAACAATCAGCCCTTTTAAAGAGCTTTCTATGGGTACACACCATACTAAGTAATTTATATATCTCATTTAAACTTCAAGATCAGCAACCAATCATTACAGAACTGATACTCTGTCTACCTGACCCTAATGTAAGCTTATCATGATGCCATGACATACCTGGGTCTAGCACATCATGAGGTTGGAGCATGGAGTTGGACGAGTGGTAAGAGTGGAAGACTGGAAGAGAAAGGATGGAGGCACCAATGCCTTGAATGGCATTGTCAATGGGACTTCATGGAAGGGAAGAAAGTGCCTTAGACATGTGGTTTTGAAAAGCCATCGGATGGCTTAGTACATGGAATTGGCTGGATGGGAGACAAACCTGGAGGAAGAGGGACAAATTAGAAGGTTGTTGTTGTGAGTTACATAAGAAATAATGGTGGCCCAAACTAAGACAGTGACAGAAATAACAGTAACATGTGGACAGATTCAAGAGGTTTCAAAAAAGTAGAATTGACAGAACAAAACTAACGATTAAATGAGGGAAACGAAATAAGAGAAGAGCTGGGTTTGGAGCCTGACCAACTGGGTAGATTCACTGAGCTAGAGGAACAAGAGAAACAACTCTCCAAGGCAAAACCGTGTAAGATATAAAGTGCTCAGTACATTAGAGCCATCAATACACAGTAGATTTTTTTTTTCTTGCTCTACGTTTCTGATTCTTTCTGCCTTTCTGAAGCTACTATCACGTGCATCCTGATTCTAGTTTCACCATTCAACATTTTCTCAAATACAGATGTGAGTTACAATTGTCATTATTCTCCCAGCAAAGAAAAGTCCTTATTGTCGGGATCTTTCAAACTAATCACTAAAGTAACAGATCTCATTATTGTACTTTTATATGTACAGATGTTTCCCACACAAGAGAAAATATCTCTAGTTTTAAAAATACATCTGTATTAATTTTAATATATTTCATATAAACACTTTTTCCAAGAAAAGTGCATGCTACATGCAAGATTATAACATTAATGGTATCCTAGTGTGTGCCTCACATATAATATGTGCTCAGTGAATGGATGTTGAATGACTGGTAGCTCTCAGTTCTATTGACCAGGCAGGTGCTCAAAACCCATCTGTTTCCAACCAGAAAAATCTAATGGATTGGCTACTTGTCTACAGAGTATTCAAAAGCAGGAAAAAGTGAAAGACAATATGAATTAAGTCCTCTCAAATCTAAAATGATATGATTCTACTATGAGCAATATCAAGAATCATGTGTCCCCCTGGCCATATAACACCACAAAATCATTTTTTCACAAGTGAATCCGGAAAAACAGAAACTAAAAGACACTCTGTAGATGAAGCCTATAGATGTCTATAGATAAATCACAAGTCCTGGGTTATACAAAGCAAAAAGACTCAAGATCCTACTCAACAAGTTCACTTTTTATCAGCCCTGAACATCTTCCATTACTATTTTTTCTTGAAGATATGGTTCACTGAATTCTTACTATTAGATAGGTCCTATGCTAAGAGTGTAACATTCATTATCACACATTGTCCTCATCACAGTGTTAGTGGTATCAGTTACTAGTCGTATTTTAAAAACAAAACAAAACCTCTAAGAGTTAGAGAGATAACTTTCGCAGCGTTCATATTTGAGAACTATGATTCTTGTAGTTTTTTTTTAATGTGCTCTGCGATATATTTCAAACAGCCCTAAAATTACTGTAAATATCTGTGCCCTTGTTCTAATTCAAGTCACTTTTTATAAATGTCAACTTGTAAAGGTTTTCTATGAGTTCCCGTATTCTCGTTAGTAAGATGTGACAATATCTACCCTGTTTACTTCAAAAGTTTGCTAGGAGATCAAAAATGGTGTGGTATGTACAAGTACTTTGTCAATAGTAAAGAAACACTTACATGTGGATGGAACCGTGATAGTACCATTAGGTTACAGATTGAAGTTAACACCAAACTATAATTTAAATTAAAAGAAATGCTGCATGATTAAAAATTAGTGTGTATGTCAATTATTTCTCAGTAAAACTGGGAAAAAAAAGAATTAGTAGCAGTAATGTTAAATACAAGTCTTTTCCTAGTAATATTTGAATACTTTTCTTACCTATAAAATTAATAAAAATTGATTGTGCCTCATTAAAGCATCAAATACAGAATATAGTCCTTTCAGTTTTTGGTAAATCATTATAATGGCTAATTTTTATTGGTTTGATAAAATTTATCTATTTAATGAGGCCAATAATTATTACTCAAAATAAAACCCGATAAAATTGAGAATGTTTTCTCCCACCCTATTTGAGATAACTCTTTTACATAATATTATGTTCTAATAAAGTAGGAAACAAGGCCCATCTCAAAAGTTCTGTTTACGATGTAGAAATATTCTAGGACAACTTCCTGCCATTCTATGTATTTTTCACTTTCAATAGTCTCTTTCCCAGAGGGTAAATTTTCAATGAAATGAAATCATAATTTGCTGGAAATATTTGATGTTTCTCTAATAGTTGTGACTATGTATCATGTTATTTATGGTAAATAAAAGAAGGCTATGAGAATAAATTGATTACATACAGTCACACACATGTATACTCAATCAAATCTGGATGAACTGAATTTTGTATACAAGTTTCTTATTCAGATTAAAAACAAAATACCTTATAGATAAGTCCAACACACTCATCTTGGAGAAATAAAATGGACCAAGGGACGCAAATCCAGAGTGAGGACCAAACTATCGGTTTTTTGCAGGGCTTTATCTTACCATAAATTCATCCGCCAGTGTCCTTTAAACTTGTGAGTATATGCAGGCATCTGTAGGTATCTAGCAAACCCATGCATTTTCTCAACCGACTTTTCGTTAAAGTTTCTCTATTATAATTCAGCAAAGAGTTCTTATTATTTACCAGATAAACCAAAATGCATTTTCAGAAATCTTTTACAAAGCGGAAATAATTGTATCACCTTTGGAATGAAGCTTAACTGTTCGCAAATTAGAAACATTCTTACTTAAGGGTCAGAGAAGGATTGAGAGATTTGGTCCAACTCTTTCCTTTTTTTTTCAGATGAGGAAATGGAATTTCAGAGAAGTGATGTTTCCTGCTCAAGATCAGATAAGAACCAATGCGTGAGCTGACAAACCTAGGTTCCTTTACTCCAGGTCTCACTCTGTTTGTACTAAAGCTCTGTGGCGTGGTCGTCCTCCTCCCTCACACAGTGACACTTTAATAGGAGAAACAGAGAGTAAACAATAAAATAAGAAAATAAATACATTAACTACAAAATATGGTAATAATAAGCAACATTGACTAAGTTCTTACTGGGTGCCAGGCATTGTTCTAAGCACTTTTTTCATAAATTTGTGCATATTCCTCATAGCACCCCCGAGTGGATACTGTTGGTAATATTTACAGACAAAAAACCTGAGGCACAGAGAGATTGAGTAACTTGTTCAAGGTCACGGAACTAGGAAGCAGTGGAGCCAGAAGTCAAACCCAGGAACAGACAAAGGCACACAGCTATTAAGCAGAGGACCAGAATGAGAAGGAGCCAGTCCCAAATACAGCATGGTGTGCAAAATCCTTGAATCAGGAAAAAGCTGGAAGCATCAAAAAACTAAGAGAAGACTGGTGTGGTTGGAATATCATTTTTAAAAGGGGGAGAAGGGTGACGCTAGGTAACAGGGTAATACTGGCAAAGGCCAAATTAAGCAGGGCCTTGCATGCCATGAAGAAAAGGTTGAGTTTTTAAGCAGTGAAATGGAAAGCCACTGAAGATTTTTTTTTGTTTTTTTTTGGTGAGGAACATCGGCCCTGAGCTAACATCTGTTGCCAATCTTCCTCTTTTTACCTGAGGAAGACCGTCCCTGAGCTAACATCCCTGCCAGTCTTCCTCCATTTTGTGTATGGGACACCATCACAGCATGGCTTGACGAGCAGTGCATAGGTCTGCACCTGGGATCTGAACCAGTGAACCTGGGGTAGCTGAAGCGCAGCGTGCAAACTTAACCACTATGCCACCGGGCTGGCCCCTGAAGATTTTTTTGAAGCAGATTTTTAACATGATCTGAATTACATTTGTAAAGTTCACTCTGGCTGAAAAATCCATGTTGAGATTTGACAATCATTTCTTTATTCATTTATCCATTCACTCATTCACCCGAAAAGCAATTGTTAAGTGCTGATTTTAGCAAACAATCTTACCCAAAATTGGCTCTCCCAGCAATATCCCTTATTCACCAAATCAAATATACATCCACCAATAGCAAATGGTTATATCTAGAGGTTTCCCAGTAATTCCTGAATCTTGGCAGCTTGGACATTAGATACATGTACTTGAATCATACTCATCAACTAGTTATCTGTATTAAATCAACCAATTGTTTAAAGGAAATATATTTTCCCCCCAGAATCAACTAGTGTTTTGATATCATGTTCTTTAGAATTTTAGTCTTCTTGCTTTGTATTTCCAGGTAAGAATATAAAAACTGTTGCAAAATGGTAACTATATGTTACTCTGTCAGATACCAGGCTCCAACAATGATAAGCAGTGCTTATAACATTACCTACAGAGATCACACTGAGACATAGTATAAAGCTAAGAGTTTTCAGTCTTGGTGTAACTTTTACCTTACACTTAGCAAATAGGCAAAAGCAACCAAAAATCACGAGCACTCTGAAATATCATATATTTACCTCACACTCTCCAACAGTTCAATTCAAAAAACATTTATTAAATATCTACCATGTACAAGGCGTTATTCTAAACCACTGTGGGAGATACAAAAATAAATGGCATGCCTTCATGCTGATAAATCTCCTTTAATGACATGAGGTCTTGATATCATACAATTTTACTTCACATTGTTAGACAATAATCCCAAAGATTAGATTTTGCAGCAAACTTTTTGCAGAAAGCTAAAAGTAGCTTGCCCAGTAAAACTGCGTTATGTCCCATTTGTTGAAGCAGGAGTATCTCTAAGCATTCAAAATACTAAAAAAAGAAATTTCATAGCCACAGGTGTATCAAAGGATCATTCATCTTTTTGTTCACAGAATCACAGGATCATAAAATCTCTGAATAGAGGGAGACGAAGAGGGCATGGAGTCCAATGCTTGCTGGCTTCACAGGAACATGAGAATCACCTGGGGTGTTTTTCAGTAACACGGATTTCTAGGCTCTGGCCACTAGAGCAGGTCTGGGTGGAACCAGGCATTTGTACATTCTCAAACGATTCTGAGAATGTACATATATAACCAAGTTTGAGAACACAAATCTAGCCCAACTCTTGGATCTGTTATTTAAATGTGGTCTGTGCTATCTTTCCTAATAAGTTGTCATTTGGCATTTAGTCTTTGCTTATGTGGGTGTGGTGTAGTTATTTGTTAATATATGTCTCCAAAAATGATGTTGCAAGCTCCACGAGGGTAGAGTCTAGGGCCGTTTTCTTCAGTATTTCATCTAGCGCTTTGCTCAGACCTTGATATTTAGGAGATAGTCATTAAAGTTTGTTGAATGCATACTTGATTGAATGAGGTCTCTCATTAGTTTGACTTGAAGTCTCTTTCAGAAACATCCATCTATTGTGCTACTTTTTAATAGTTCCAGGAAACTTAGTAAGTCCATATTCCAGACTGGGCATAAAAACACAAGAAAAGTATTCTCCCTTCTTTGAAGGCTCTTAATTACTTACGTAGAGAGAAAGATGCAGATACTTTTAATCAAAAATGGTAAGTGCAATGTCAAGCATAAATATGGAATAAAGGTGGGAATTGAGACAATGGCAACTAATCTAGTTGTGACTGAGGTAGAGGAATGGAAGCAATGGATTTTAAGGAATGCTGTTCAAGGGAAGTGATGCTGAGTTGAGTCTTGATGGATTAGCATTTGAACTATTGGATGTTCACACACTTTACATCAAATAGAATGAATTATGTTTCTCTTCTATAGGAAGCCTTTTTTGTATATATAGAAAGGTCTGTCTCTCAAATCTTCTCTAGGACAAATATCCAAGTTCCTACAATTATTTATCACAAAAATATTATGTATTCCTTATTGTTCTTGTTCTATAGTAAATTAATTTAAATACTCTGAATTCCATAATCTAAAGAAGACTGTAAGGGCATGGAATACAGCCCATGGCTTTCAAGTTCAAGAGCCATAGCTGAACTCAGAAAGGCACCTAATTTGCTCATGAGTAATGCGATTTCTGTTGTTGCAGTGTGAGTTACAAACAAACAGCACTGATACGTAGACTATAAGTCAAACCCAAGCCTCTCCCCTCAGCATGCTAAACAAAATTGAAAGCTGAAAGACGACCAACACAAATGGGTTTAAAGTGAGACACCGACAATTGTTAGTTTTACCATTGTGGCTAAATTCACAGACTAACTTCCACAATAAACAGATATAGAGAAACCACATAAATATCCCCAGGTAAGCAACGCTATTTAATAAGCTGGGGAAAGACAGCTCTGAGTTGATGTCGTTGTCATAGAAACAATTCTTGCCTATTAAATCTGTGAGAGGGCTAGAGAAGCATGGACTTATCTGTTTTGGTTAAGTGTAGTGCAGGGAAAAATGCTGAAATGGCAAAGGCAGAGATACTAGCTGTGACGGCAAAATACTATTCTCATTCTAAAAGTTAATTTTTCCCTTTTCTTAAGGCATACACTTAGTAAGATACCACTCTACTCTAAAAAAAAAAAAAAAAAAAGAACTTTTAAACTGGAAATGATAAATTCCATTTCTTCAAAGAGATTTGGGAAAAATCTACTGAGCTCCTCTGAAGAACTAAATCAATGTGAGATTGCATCCATATACCAGAAAAGTACAGACCCCCAAGGTGATCAAACAAACCCAACAGCTGCTAGACGTCCATTAAAACAGTGCTAGAAAGGCGCTTATTTGATGCATTTCTCCTGGGAGGTTTGTATCTAAAATGAGACTAGAAATCACATTCTCTCTTGTAAAGGAAATCTGACAGGCCTCAGCCTGGGAATATAACTGTAATTAATAAATGAAAATTACTAAGCTCATTTCCTGTGCTTACTTCCTCCCACACTACTGCATCTTGTGGGGCTACACCTGATACTTATTAGGCTTTTGAAAAAAGGGGATTTGAAATGAAGAGGATATATCAGCTGTTTGTCAAGGCATGGGCTTCTAAGTCAGTACATAGAAAAAATGTGTAAATGATCAGTTCCTTGAGGGTAGGATTCCTTTGGCATAGGAAATAGCATATGGTAAACATTTTGTATATACTTATTGCTTCGTTATATTCAGTCAAAAAATATCATGGTAGCTTCAGTCTGTAATCCAGAGTATCTGCCTATCTACCAAATGACCATCCAGGCTACGGCCAAGAATAATACCATAACTTGTATCTATGTCTTCATACTTTGACAAATGTCTTATTTATCTTATTACTAAAATTCACAATGTTTTCTTAGATGGACCGTTCCCTCAGAATAAATTCCATAAAATGAGAGGGTTAGGTGGATGGTGTCTGAATTCTGAATTCTGTATTAGTAGATTAAAAAAACATACTGCTGCAAATGAAGTTCCAGATTATCAAAACTGTGCAAGTCCTCAGATGACTCTCTACAGACTATTGTTAATTAACTGATGAGATTTCTTTTATAGTCATTACTAGAAATGTAGCTTTTTGGTTCCCCTGATCAAACAAACCCAACCAGTAATAGATACTATTTCTTAGGAAGCGATGTCTCAGTTTGATCTTATTTTGTCTGATTATTATCAACAAAGTCAGAGAAACTTTTCCAGAGGTAGTGATATTTGAGATAGGTATATTTGAGACATTTGAGAAGAGTACAAGGACATGAGGAGGTAGAGAGAGGCTATTCTAGTCAGAGGGCCAAAACAGCAATTCTCAAAGGGCGTGGTCCCAGAACCAGCAGCACCAGTATCCCTTGGGAACTTGGTAGACATGCACAGTCTTGGCCCCACCTCATACTTACTGAATCAGATTCTCTAGGGTGGGCCCAGCAATGTGTTTTAATAAACTCTGTAGATGAACTTCATGTACCCTAATATTGAGAACCACTGAGCTAGAAATTAGAAATGTGAAAGAAATGCTGTGTTTGAAGTCCCTTAAATTCTTCAATATGGCTTAACTTCAGACTAAGTGTGGATGGCAGTAAAGCTTGAGGATGGTAAAGTAGGCCAGACAGCAAGGTGCATCATGTGCCCTCTTACGGAATGTGTACTGTATCAGTTAGGATGATGGAGAGCTACTGAATCATTTGTAAGCAGGGAATTAATAAGGAATTCCCTGTTAAAATAACTCTAGGGCAGTGTGAGAAATAGACTGAGTCCCTGACTGCATGAGGTTGCCCAAGGAAAAAAAGTAATAATTGGTTGGGAGATTAAAAGGTGTCACGATAACAGAAGATTTCTAGAGGCTGGAAAAGGACCACCTAACTCCAAATTAGGACAGGCTGAGGAGGAGGGAGAAAACAAGGATCTGTTTTAGGCTTTTGACAGTCGGTAGATGTTGGAGCTACCAAAAGCAGTTAAAATATCTAAGAGGACTCTCTCATTCAAACTCTCTCTCATATATATGCAAATAAGCAAAATTAAACTGTGGGAGCAAATGAGATATCCTAGATAAACTATATAAGAGAGAAGAAAACTGAGGGGAAAAAGCCCTGAAATAGCTAAAAAGAACTTTATGTGTATGCAGGACAGCAAAAGAAACTTTAGTCTCCGATTCCTGCACGACCATGGACCTAGTCATCTATTGTCTATCTACAAAA